GGACGAACGGTCATTTTAGAGGCGGAGAATGTGATGACCCAAAAGGTCATCACTTGTTTTAGAAATAAATTTTGTGTCCCGAGGCCTTAAAACCTCCTTTTTGTCTCACCTCGATTTGCGTGCACAGTCCGGGCGCGTATCCAGAAAGCCATTATGTGAAAATCTGTAAAAAATGATGAGTTTTGCTTTAAAAATAAATTAGAGTTGACTTCGATCAACATTTTGGGTAAACGGACCCGGACCCGTGATTTGACAATCCCGGAGGGTCCGTTGGAAAATATGGGACTTGGGCGTATGCCCGGAAGGGAATTCCGAGGTCCCAAGCCCGAGAAATGAATTTTTGAAGAAAGTTATTTTTTGGAAAATATAAAAGTTTTTGAGAAATGAAAGATGATGAAATTAATGGTATCGGGCCCGTATTTTGGTTCCAGAGCCCGATACAAGTTTGAAATAATAAATTAGTGGAATCTGTGAAGTTTGGTAAGAATCGGAGTCCGTTTAGTATAAATCGGACCTTATTTTAGAAAATTGGAAATTTTGATGTTCTTAAGTGATTTCATGAATTTGAGGCTTAATTCATAGTGGTTGATGTTATTTTGAGCAAGTCCGTATGATGTTTTTGGACTTGCGTGCATGCTTGGTTTGGAGCCCCGAGGGCTCGGGTGAATTTTGGATAGGCCACGGAGTGAATTTAGACTTGAACATAGCTGTTGCAGGTTCAGAGAAGTTGCAGATGTTTGAACCAGGCTTCGCGGTCCGTAATGGTTTCTCGCGACCGCGGAGGGGCTTCCGCGATCGCGGTGGGATTTTTGCGGTCCGCGATGAGAAAGACCAAGCCTTTCGCGGCCGCGCTCGATATTTCGCGGTCCGCGGTGGAGCTCCGCGGCCGCAATCCATTTTATGCGGTCCGCGGTGAGAGTCTGAGAGGAGTATATTAACGGGATTTTTCAGTTATTTTACTATTTTCAGAAACATTAAACATAAAGGGCGATTTTTCAAGCACTCTTTCTTTCCCCAAAACACAAGTAAGTGATTTTAAACTCATTTCTTTTACTTCTTAACTTCTTTTTACAAGATTTCATCCTAGAATCTAGGGTTTTCATGGTGTAATTGGGAATTTTGGGTAAAACCTAAGAATAGTGAAATTTGGGGATTTAGACCTCAAATTGAGGTCGGATTCCAAAACTAATTATATATCCGGGCTCGGGGGTAAATGGGTAATCTGGTTTTTGTCCGAATTTCGGGTTTGGACCAAGCGGGCCCGGGGTAAATTTTTTACTTTAGGGAAAAACTTCAGAAAACCTATTTTCATGCATTAGAATTGATTCATTTAGCATTTATTGATATAGTTAAGTAACTTGTGGCTAGATACAAGCGAATTGGTGGTAGAATCAAGAGGTAAAGCAGTAGTTGGGGCTTGAATTGTGTTCGTGGCATCGAGGTAAGTGTTTGGTTTAACCTTGGTTTGAGGGATTAGGAGTTGTGTCCTATTTGCTACGTGTTAATTGTTGAGTACGACGTATAGGCATGGTGAAGAGTATCTATATGTTGGTGTCAAGCATGCCCGTGAGTCTTATGCTATGATTAATATGACTTCGTTGTGTATTGTTCATGCCTTATGTGATATTTCTATTGTTGAACAAGGCTTGTGGAAGAAATTTTGGTAATTGTACATTGAAGAGCGTTGGCTCAAGTTGTGAAATGAGTTGTGGAATTATTGTTGGCAATTGAACATTATAGAACATTGGCTCAAGTTGTGAATTCAATTGTGAAGTAAATGTGAAAAAAGAGAAGAGGATTATGATATTGTCTCCCTTGCCGGGACGTTGTTGCTTTTAATGTTATCTCCCTTGCCGGGATGTTGTTGCTTTTGATATTGTTTTCCTTGCCGGGATATGATTGTTGTAGTATTGTTCCCTTGCCGGGATTTTATTATGATTTTATTTATTTCCTTGCCCTTATTGTTTGTGATTGTTGTTAGAAGAGTGTTAAAGCACGAAGGGTGATGCCGTGCATTGTTTTGGTGAGAGAGTGTTAAAGCGCGAAGGGTGATGCCGTGCATGATATTTGTGAGAGAGTGTTAATGCACGAAGGGTGATGCCGTGCCGCACGATGTACCATTCCGTGCCTTTATATGAGTGATAATGCACGAAGGATCATTCCATGCCATGATTATGTGAGGTAAAAGCATAAAGAGTGATGCCATGCCGATTATATTGATATTTGGTGAGGACGAGAGTAAAAGCACGAAGGGTGATGCCGTGCACTTGTCTTGATGTTCCGATTATTGTTGATATTTGAGTTATAGTGTTCTTTACGGTTATTTATTATTTTCTGCTGTTACTTGATTTCTCCGCAACATGTCCCCCCCCCCCCCTCTTACTTTTAAATTGTAAGTTTCTGCCTTTATTTTTCCACTGTATGTGATTTAATTACACAGGATTATTTGGTAATCTGGTCCTAGCCTCGTCACTACCTCGCCGAGGTTAGGCTAGGCACTTACCAGCACATGGGGTGGGTTGTGCTGATACTACACTCTGCACTCTTGTGTGCAGATCCCGGTGATGTAGCTTTCGGACCGCAGTGAGGTTGCTGCTTCCAGTTCGTCAGGCGACCCGAGGTAGTCCTGCAGGCGTCCGCGGACCTTGGCGTCTCCTTCTATCCTTTCATTCTGTTTCTCTTATGTACTTCAGAGACAGCGTTGTATTTCTCTTTTGGACCCTTATTTGCAGTATTCCTAGACAGTCTGTGAAATTGTGACACCAGTTCTGGGTGGTTTTTGTTATGAATTGCTATTGGCATTATGATTAAAATATTGAATTTCAGGCTTCCACTTATTAATTACTTTCACTAGTAGGCGCCATCACGACTCCCGTGGGTGGGAAATCCGAGTCGTGAAAGCAGCTTTGCAAAATTGCCACTCAATCAAGTCCTACATGTGCTACACACACTCATCACACCAGCGGAAATGGAGAACTTTTCACTGGAGCAAATAGTGCCGGAGATGGAAGCAACAACTCAATCATTCCATTCGACAACAGGAAATTCCCCTTCCCCGCAGGTCCCGGAACGGGTGGAAAACCCTCAAAACAATCAAGATTAGGTGATGGAGCCAATCTTCTTGACGGAGGAATTTAACACTAACATTTCTCGAAAATGTAGAAGAATGGCTTCAGTTTGTGACCAGTTTGTGGAGGTATTTTGAGTCTAATTCTTGAGCTAGGACGAACAGTATTGTGCTAAATTTGTTCAGGCTGTCCTAGCGGAGATATGGTGAAGAGGAAGAGAAAGAAAAAGGCCATAAACTATAAATTTAGTAAATTGGTTTGTAAAAAAAAAAGGGACCCACAAAGTACACATGCCAGTCAATAAAAGGTTCTGCATTTTCGAGAAATGTTAGTGTTAAGCATTCCTCCGTCAGGAAGATTGGCTCCATCACCTAATCTTGAATGTCTTGAGGGTTTTCCACTAGTTTCGGGACCTGCGGGGGAGGGGAATTTCCTGTTGTCGAATGGAACGATTGAGTTGCTGCTTCCATCTCCGGCACTATTTGCTCCAGTGAAAAGTTCTCCATTTGCGCTGGTGTGATGGGTGTGTGTAGCACATGTAGGACTTGATTGAGCGACGAGTCTGTAAAGCTGCTTAGAGAGAATCAGTGCAAGTTGAAGTTCTATGGTTGTGTGTTGTTGGAACATTGCATCATCATGTTGCTTAGTGTTAGTAATTCCTCCTCCTGGACTGTGTGGTTGTAGACTAGTGACTGGTATGCTTGAAGCATCTCCGAAGCATTCATTGTGTATGGCTGGACTTCGGAAGGCAGATTTGGATTTAGGTGAATTAGGTTTTGGCCACTTATCGTGGAAACTGATTCACATGTATTGATTGAACTATTATCGCCTAATAATCTAGCTTTTTCACACATGTTAATGGATTGCAGACAACTAATGGAGAAGCTGGGCAGCCCACAGGTGTGCCACATCTTTAGAGAAGCTAATGCTGCAGCAGATAAACTGGCCTGCTATGGGAAATGCAGAGATCCAGCCATGAGAAAAAACGTTTTGGTTTTTGTATACCCACCCCCCTTTATCCTTAATGAACTAAAGGAAGACTTGTATGGAACTGGGACTATACGTTCAGTTACCATCATGTAATAACTTCCGTTTGTTCTATTTAATAAAAGCTTCTTTCATTAGCAAAAAAAAAAAAAAAATTGCTTGACTGCCCTATGGTTGGTTCAATTTTCTAAATGAGCACCAATTAAAAATGTTTTCTACAATATGGGTCAGATATTTTATCAAGATAAGTTCATTTGAATGCTACTTCTTATCTTTGAGCTTTGTACCGAAAGTTAAAAACTTAATGCATAGAATAATTCATGTAAAGAGACATATTCCAATTATATGAGTTATTTATCCTTCTGATTTTATCATATATGGACGTGAGGATGAGGTGAGGTCTAGTCCCAATAGCATAATTAGCAGATCAACTAGCATAAAAGAACGAAAAGGCAGACGACAAGCTAAGGTCATGAAATCCTATGTAAAGCAATTAGTATCAAGTCGTTCATTGTCTCAGTGTTGCTTAGCATAGCGAAACGCCGCACGCGCTCACCAACACTTCCTGAACATCATGATGCCTTACTTTTGCCAAAACGTAGAGGTTGAAGTCAATCTTACTTTGTGACATATTTACGGTTTGGAGAGTCAAAACAATTATTTTTACCTTTATTTTTCATATGCCTTTTTAATAATTTCATATTGTCAATATTGTAGTATTTTATATAGTTTTTAAATATATAAATTTTAATTAAAAAATTTGAAGATTTTACGCCCGAATCCACACAAAAAATTGGGATAATTTGAACCAGCTCGAACTCTGAATCATGGCAAACAAAGTGGGCCTTAGGGAGTATCAAATTGTGAAAATAACATGGATTAGTTATTTGCGTTTACCCCAAAAAGGAGCAGATACTCCTCAAGATTAAGGTATAAATTTACACAATCGGTTAAATCTTCTCACATTAGCTGAAAGGCTTCAACAATAAAAGGTACATACATTCAAGACAACTAGCTATCAATAGTTGTTGATAAAACACTAAAATAAAAAATGGATAACAAGTTTCACATTTTGTCATGATCAGTGTCCCACTGTATTGTATTAGCAGCACCCAAAAAAAGCATAACAGCTGTATGGCAGGTAGCAATGGCAATTTACATCCAAAGCACAACAAACTTTGACAAAGCTAGCTGCTATATTTGCAGTATGGAATACTAGTATAACAAAAAGCTAGTATTTGCTTATATTCATAGCTCAAGTACTACTATTTATAGGAGAAACATTTTATTGCAAGAATAGGCAAATTGCAGTGCAGTCATCTCTCTTGCTGTTAGGGAACTTCATTTTCCAAGCATCTATAGAAGCCTCTACCACTGCTTTCGCCGCTGCTGATCCATCGTTTGTTGAACACACTACGGAAACAACTTGATCATTGCTCAGCACATCCCATACCTAATGTGTTACAAAAGGCATATGTCAAGAGTTGTAGACACAGGAAAAAATAGAATAAAATTATAAGTATAGAGTTACAATGGACTTACCCCATCGGATGCTAGAACAAGAAACTGATCATTGGGAGAAAGATGGTGATAAGAAACATCAGGCCTTGAGATTATGCCATAGTTTTTGAGCATAAAATCTCCGAAAGCTCTAGACATGGCGAGTCCAGGAGCGTCTTCATAGGGCAACCACACTCTCTGTATATGTGCCTCTTTTTCTAGAGCTAGCACTCTTCCACCGCAATTCCTTATTCTTTCTGCTTCAGCTGCATACATCAAACAGTTTATGATAATTTGCCTAGTATCATGTCAATAGTAAGGAAGAAGAGTCTTACAAGGCAGGCTAGGCTTCAAATCAGTAGTTAATTGAACAGCCTCAATTGTTCCTTCATCTGTCTTTCTTCCTAATATAGCTCGAGAATCGCCAAGATTAGCTATAATCAAGTCATCATCCTGTTAATATATAAGCAATTAGAACAACAAAATTGCCTTAATTCTAACGAAGTTCAAGATTACTGAATGATCATACAAGACTTTCTTATTACCTGTCTTATAGCTACAACAGCAGTTGTTCCACTGCAAGAAAAGTCCAATTTCTCAAGACATTTAATTTCTTTATCCACCACCTTAAAGGAGCTAAGACAAGCCTCTTTCCACTTGTTAAAGTTCTTGTTCTTCACTGATTCATCAACTTCTTTTACATTTTGTTTTGGAGAAGTGATTTTTGGGAGAGAAAGTATATGTTTCAGAAGCAAAGATGGTAACTTATTCATAACTAACTTGCTGACTATCTGTCCATTCTCTCCATGCCCATCAAAAACTCCACTGAAAACTCCATTTTCAACACCATATCCCTGCCAGAAAAAGAAAGTTTCCATTTTTAGATACCCTATACAAAACCTATACTTAAATGATAAAACATAGAGAAATTGATCACAAACCTGATAGATAATAGCAGAATCTTGATTATGTCCTTTGCTTCCTTGTTGAGAATAAACTGAACCAATCACTTGTTGGTTTCCATTGGCACCATTGTTGTTGTCTTCATAATGAACCAAATTTTCATGGCCATAATCAATAGCATGAATCTCAAAAGATGCAGTGGATATGCAGATACCCATTTTGTCAACTTTTGTTTTCTTTACTTTTTTTTCTTCTTGTTTGTGGTTTCTACTTTAACAACTGAAAGAGAATCCTGTATTTAAAGGAATTTTAGACCTTGGGATGGAGTTGAAAATGGGATTAATAAATTCTATAAATAGTAAAATAATGTAGTTGTGGCTCCAGAGGATTCCAAAAACTCATTCAGATGCAATAATACATTTGTTAATTGTATTGTATTATTCTAGATTACCCCAAGATTCATTTCAAGGGGCAACCGAGTTGTACTTTTGTAGGTTCTCCACACGCACATTTTAATATTATTAAATATGTGGTTTACTTGTCCTTACTTTGTTTTCAATGGATGTTCAAGAAAATAAATTCTTTTTTGTGCCATTGCTGAAAAATATGAAAGTGATCGTTAGACTAGCGGGGCGATGTGTTGGCCAGTCAAGAACTTTCATGCTGAGAAGATGAAGATACCGGAGATGAGGATATTGAGGTAGATGTGTAGACATACTATGAGAAATATAATTAGGAAAGAAGTTATTCGGTACAAGGTGAGAGCGACCTCGGTGGACGACAAGATGAGAGAAGCGAGACTCAGATGGTACATGCATGTCATGAGGAGATGCACAGATGTTCGTCCTAGTGAGGAGGTGCGAGAGGTTGGCTATTGTGTGTCTGAGGAAAGGTAGAGGTAGATCGAAGAAGTATTGGGGGAAAAGTGATTAGAGAGGACATGGCATGTCTCCAGCTTACCGACGACATGACCCTAGATAGGAAGATATGAAACCCGAAGATTAGGTAAAAAGTTAGTAGGCCGTCAAGTTTGGTACTCAATTTTTTTTTCCAAACCAATATTAGTATTATCATTTTAGTATTTTCTTGTTCTTCGATTCTAGATCATTTGTTATTCCCCTTGCTTTGGTCACATTACTACTTTGTTATTTTTTTTTGTTAATGTCCTTGTCTTTAGTATTTTCAACGTGACATTTTTATTACGACTTTTCTGTTCAAACGTGCTAAAAATTGTTTTTCTTGAGCGAAGCATCTTTCGGAAATATCCTCTTTATCGGCCTCCATAAGGTAGGGATAAGATCTACGTATACTTTAAGCTCACCAAACCCCCACAATGTGAGATTACACTGAATATATTATTGTTATTAAAATTGTGACAAATTAAAGAATGATCAGCAAATTTTAGCTCTTCCTTTTTAACACTTTGTGGAAGTTGGAAGGCGTAATGGGGCAAAGTAGATGGACGTTGATGATGACACTTATGTGAGCTATATAGGAAAAGATTTATCTCATAAATAAAAAATTACACCTTGTTTGGATGGTTGGTATGCGTCGTTTCAGCTTGTTTAGATGGTTGTTACATGTTGTATTATATAATATTGTTACTTTAAATACAATATTTGTTTTGATAGTTACTTAAACGTTATTGTATCGTATCGCTAAATCCTCCTTACGTAACGATGAAAAGTGGCATTTTATAGAGCGATCGATTTGGTGTAGTCACGTCGTTACCTTATCTTTTCCTTTCATCTTACTTTTTTTTTACTATTCAATAATTCTATTTTATCTTTTACCCTAACTTTTTATATAATAATATTACCCCGTACCTTACTTTTTCTTTATAATATTGAAGTCTGTTCTTCATGTTGTTGGTGTATGACATCGTAAAACGACGGCAAACAATATAATCTATCTAAATATTGTATACATCAAAACGATACAATATTACATCACCAGTGTATAGAATGTGTGCAATCAATGTAATTTAGCCTACAATAGAAGGTTACTTGATATTTTCCAGGTTTATAACTTTATTGATAATGTCTAGTTATCTCTAATTATCTTTATGGTGGTCCGATAATATTAAAAAAAAAATCACATTGCCAATGTAGAGGTGGAAACTGGAGATGATTCAAAAGTCGGCAAAGCCAACTGTTAGTCAAAGCCCTTAACGTAAGGCATTAAAATGACTTGAACTAATGACTCAATTAAACAAAATAAAACTATGTAACCTAATTGAGGGTTTTTGGTACGGCTCTTCTACTCCAGACGAATAAGGAAACAAAGAGAAAAACTCTCCTCTAAATTTAATGATGGAGACACGATTTTCACCAAGATAATTAAAAAATAAATGCTCAAGGGGTTCAACGTCTTATATGTATATATATAATGAAATTTAACCTTATATATATAATGTAATATTCCAACCTTATATACGTAATGTAATTTTCAGACGAACCTATGCTGCTAGCTCGGCCCATGCTTCTAATAGTAAGTCAACCCTTAGGAAAAATAATTACGAATACCAAAGGGGATTTAGGTTTTTGAAGGTGTTAAGTTAACCAAACGAATTGTTGGGCAAATCATGTTGACTTTTTAAAACTATTTGGTAGAATGTTTTCTTTATTTAATAATACGTCTCATTCCAACATGTAAGGATCTTGTCATGATTGGAGAAACCAAAGGGTTTGGAAAACAACAAGATGATGACAGGCACACACAACTGCTACTCCTTGAAAACTAAACTATATGTAATTTATCTAAATAGAAACTATATTATTCTGAAAAAACAAATAATTGAAAATGCCTTTTCAAATCCTTGAAAACTTATCAGGAACTTATCTAATTATATGTAATTTTCTAAATAGAAACTCTTCTTCAATCTCCAACACGATTCTCTTTTTTTTTTCTTTGAAACTTTCTTTTCTTTTTCTTGTGGTGGGAAATCAAGTGATAGTTTCTTAATATAGCCTATATATCAACCATTGATGACATAATATAATAACATATAGTCCTAACCAAGGTTAGCGAGAATGAAATTTTCGGTGTTGATAGGGTTAGCATTAGTCAAACCGATCGAACAATATTGTTAGGTTTGTAAAGTAAAACTCTAGCTTTACATGAAACGGCAATAGTATGTCACGAACCAAAACAAACCCTATCGTGATGGCGTCTGTCGTGGTACTAGGCAAGCCGACACATTACCAAGAACAAATCGATATTTTCATTTCAAAGGTAGTTCTAAAACTATTTAATATAAAACCTTCATAAAGGAGTTCAAATCAAAATAAAAGTGCGGAAAAGAAAGCCTAACATCGGGGTGTTACTAGTCATGAGCATCAACTACAGCCGTCAGACAATATCAAGACTAACATAGTCTGGAAATAACTTAATACAACTAAGGAAAGATAAAGAGGGAGGAAAGCAGCGCTGCGATCGCCAGGCAGCTACCTTGCTAACTTCGATGGATCTGCAACTGAACAATCAACACTCACTATCGCGTGTAGAAACGCCTGGATCTGCACACAAGGTGCAGTGGGTAATGTGAGTACGCCAACTCAGTAAGTAACCAAAGTAAATAAAGGCTGAGCAGTAGTGACGAGCAGTCTAGCATGTAAAGTTCATATCATGAAATCTCAATAAAAATACAACAGCCTCTAAAAGCAGAGTTTGAATCAAATCATTTCGTTTAAACTCAGTTCCAGTAAAATCATTTGAAAATATTTTTCAACAGTTCTCAAATAGAGGCTCAATGCAACAGTGAGAAAAATGATGGAATCACAAACAGCCCCTCAAGCAAAACATCATTCATATACAGCCCCTCGGGCAAAACATCACTCATATACAGCCCCTCGGGCAAAACATCACTCATATACAGCCCCTCAAGCAAACCTCACAGTCACTCGTATACAGCCCCTCGGGCATAACATCACTCACACTCAGGGTACCGGCGCTCACTGGAGGTGTGCAGACTCCGGAGTGGCTCCTTCAGCTCAAGCGCTATAACAAGCCACCTCGTGGCATAAATCAATCAGGCCCTCGGCCTCACTAAATCATGAATCAGTAACAACATGCTGCAGCGTACGGCCCGATCCCAATATCTTCACAAATCAGGCCCTCGGCCTCACTCAGTCATAAACCTCTCAAGCCACTCGGGCTCTCAGTAAAAAAAAGGGTACTCAGCCCAAAACAACATTTATATGCATCAAAATAGAGTAATAAAGACTGAGTTATGAAATCAATGAGTATAACATGACTGAGTATAGATTTTCAATAAAAAACAGTAAGAAGATAGTAAGAAAAAGTCCACTAAGGGTCCAAACAGTTTTGCACAAGGCCTAAACATGGCATTCATCCCAATTTACATAACCTCTTTCTAAAACACATAAGTATCATATAGTTTCAACCAAATACGCAACTAATAGTTGCTACGGGACGGACCAAGTCACAATCCCCAACGGTGCACGCCCACACGCCCGTCACCTAGAATGTGCGTCACCTTAAAAAATAGTAAAACGATACGAAATTCGGGGTTTCATACCCTCAGGACTAGATTTACAATTGTTACTTACCTCAAACCGGTCAAATCTCTATTCCGCGATGCTCTTGCCCCTCGACTTGGCCTCCAATCGCTCCGAATCTAATCACAACAAGAACAATACCATCAATATGCGCTAATGGAATGAATTCCACAAGAAAAACTATCAAATTAAGCACAAATCCCAAAATTCACTCAAACTCGGCCCCCAGACCCACGTCTCGGAATACGACAAAAGTTACAAACTTAGAAAGCTCATTCACTCACGAGCCTACTCATACCAAATTCATCAAAATCCGACATCAAATGGCCATTCAAATCCCCAAAATCATATCTCCAATTCTCTTCCATTTTCCCCCAATTTTCACTCCGAATTCCCAATTTAGATGATAAAAATCAAGATACAATCATGGAATTTAAACAAAAATAAGTAAAGAACACTTAACCAATCACTTCTCTGAAAATCCCTTCAAAAACCGCCTCAATCCGAGCTCCATAGCTCCAAAAATGCAAAAATGGCCTAAACCCTCGAAATAGAGTACTTTATAATCTGCCCAGGCATTTACCCTATGCTATCATGGACAAACTAATGCGATAGCAAAGCACTAAATTTTCCAGCCCTTCTTTTACCATATGCGATCGCGTCCATTCCCCCGCGATCGCGTAGAACAAATTTTTCCAATAGCCTTCTCCAACTCTTTCGGACAGCCTCTAGTGTAATGGTCATATCTTTTTGTAGAAAACTCCAAATTACA